TCCCACGCCTGTCATGGGACTGTCACTTCTGACTCCAGTTCAGACACTAGCTACAGGGGTGAAGAATTGTGAGCAGAGTCTGGTCACGTTGGGCTGCCTGCAACCGCAACCTTTGTCCTTGTGTTAAAGAAACTTTCCCAAAGGCCCCTTTTGATGTTGAAACCTCCATGATAAACATGCTGGCCTGGCTCCAGGGGATGGAGAGCCACCGGACCCCAGCTTTCTCTCTAGGTGTATCTGTTTGTCTTTTCTTCATCCCCCATTGCCCCTTGTCCTGTTTCTGAACTAACAGCCATGCAGGTGGCAGCAGTAGGGGACCCAGTCAGGAACTGGGGGCTGCAGAAGGCCCACAAGGCCTCAGCCCCCTCCCCTCTGCCCACTGATGCTAGAGAGACCTGGGTCCGGAGAAGAACTACAAGTGTGGTGACAGGGGGTGGCTGTCACAGCCTCAGTGTAGGGAGACTGAAGTGACAGACTGGGAATGGAAAGCAGAATTCGCCCAGGCAGCATTCCATGTTACATAATGCCCCAGCCACACCCCTGGGAGCAGTCAAGAGAAAAAGCCATTTCCTTAGACCTGGGGGCCAAGGAAGGTCTGGCACAAAGCTGAGGACCCTGTGGTCCCCACTCTTCCCACAGGGGAGCTAAATGTAAATTTCAGGAGTAGAATTTTGCGAACATGCTTTGAGAAATACACATAACTGGGTTAGAGGACATGGAGAAGACTTTGACCGTGACAAGAGGGGTCCTGCGAAGACAAGTTGTCTGTGAAAGACGTTTTTCATACTATAACCGTGTTTTGTGTGTGCATTTACTCCTCATGACCGTATGTGGGGTTGACAATGCTGAGTACTTTTTAAAAAAAAAAAAAAAAATCTAAAGTGCTTGATAAATGTTACAAACAGAAGTAAAATATAACACAAGTGAAATATAAATAGAAGTAAAATATAAATGGTTTGGAGGGGCAGTAACCACCCCCTGTGGAATGGCGCTCACTGGGTGCTGGGCTGGGAGCACGGTGGCTTACTCGAGGTGGGGCAGAGCACTGTCCCGTGCCCGGGTTTGGTTTTACGTTGCTGTGTACATAGTGTTATAAAGGACACACGAGTCCTACTCTACGTCTAGTTTCCTAGATGCTAACAAGATTGCAAGTATATGACAAAAGTGGGATTAGTAAACATTCTGTACATTTTGGATAAGATTCCTAAGCTTCGGGTGCAGTGACCTGTAACCTCAGTGGCTGAGAGGCTGAGACAGGAGGATCTGAGTTTAAAGCCAGCCTCAGGGGAGGAAAAAAGCAACTCAGGAGACCTGTCTGTAAATGAAATACAAAACAGGGCTGGGTGCGGCTCAGTGGGCGAGGGTACCAAAATAAGGACGTCTAGGAAGGGCAGCCCTCGAACAGTGGTGCCCGTAGTCCTGGCGTGGAGGGCCGGAGGGCTCGCATTCTGAAGACGTTTCCACGTTAGAACTGCCGTCACACGTGTGCCGTTTACTCAAGACGACTGTGGCATCCTCACCTGAATCACCTCGTCTGTTGGGGCGTTTAGAAGTGTTTTGTGGGTGCGCTTTCCTCCTCGTGACCGTATGTATAGTCGACGATGCTAAGGACTTAAAAAAAAAAATGTAGGCTTTCTAGCTGCTCTAAAGCGCCTGGTAAATGTTAAAAGTAGAAGTAAGATATAACCCATTTTGTGAACTCGATGTGCGTTGGATGTGGAGGTGCTGGAATAGCTTCATAGGCTAACGCCCTCGGCTGGGCGGCTGCCAACGCGGTGGGGGTGGGGGCTGGACTACAAAGGAGGGTGGGGGAGGGGGGCAGTGGAAGGGTCAGAACCTTCCTGTGTGCATATCTGGATACGCAGCAGTGTCACTCCACATGGTGCACAACCACAAGAATGGGAAGCCACACTCCGGGTGTGACATGTCCTTTATATACACTCTACTGCCGTGTGTACCTAAAAAGCACAAATTAAATGTTTAAAAACAGAAGAATTCCCACAGTACCCACACCCTCCCTTGACCCCTGTGTGCCCTCCCCCTGCTGCGGCATCACCTTTGCTAAGAGAACCCTAGTGTTCACGGAGGGAGGCCATGTCCTTCCGGGAAATGGCGCACCCTGGATCTGGCCATTCCTGGCCGTTCCCGCCTCTTGCCTGAGGAGTGCTGAGGGGTGGGCCTGAGCCGAGGGCAAGAGAAAGAGGGCTATCGTGGGGGACTTCAAACTGTCCCCTCATTCCCAAAGAGACTCAGGAAAAAAAGAAGCCAAATGGTGTCCCCAGGTCGTGGCCTAGAGGTGAGGGTGTGAGGAGAGGCTGGAGCGGCCAGCACCTGGGACAGAGGTGCCCGGTGGTGGCCGTTGTGCCTGTTGCGGCTTAACTGTCCTGAGCTGTCCCCTGCAGTTTCCCTTCCCCAAGAGTGGCAGGCAGCAGGAGCTGGTCCTGAGAGTCCACCCCACCTCCCGCCCTGGGAACCCACAGGGCTCCTCGTGCCCTCCCTGCCCTCCGTGGGAGTGACCAGACCCTCCCCCAGGGCCACAGCGACAGGCCCACAGCCCCTCCCAGCAGTCATGATTAGGTTTAGTCATGGTGACAAAAGCAAAAATTAGTAGTGGCTTCCCTGGTGCCCTTGATAAACCAGGATTCTCAGCATGGGAAAAGATAGGCTTAGAAAGAGTCTGCGGCCCCGGATTTTAATTTGAAGTATGAGTAATCCCAGCGGCTGGAGGCTGAAGCAGGAGGATGGAGAGTTCAAAGCCAGCCTCAGCAATTAGTGAGACTCTAGTGAGACTCCCTGTCTCTAAAAAAATATAAAGGGCTGGAGATGTGCCCCAGTGGGTAAGTGCCCCCCGCCTCAAAAAGAAAAAAAAAGCAAATGGAAAAAAATGGGACTTAAGCAAAACAAGAACTTTTCATCTGGCAATCTGGAGGCAGGCAGCGCAGGCAGGGCAGCGCAACAGGTCCCTGGGCACAGGACCCGGCCCTCGGGAGCTGCCCAGCCTCCTTCGCCTGGCTTCTCCCTCAGAGTCTCAGCCTGCTCTAGGCCCGGCCTTCACGGCAGGCCAGTTGGGAGAAGGATCTCAGCCAGAAGAGCAAGCTCCCGCTCTTTTTTTTTAATGTGCTGTCCAGCCGCCCAGGGCTGCTCTGAAATTCTGGGTTCAGGCAATGTTCCAGTCCCAGCTTGTTGAGCAGCTGGGACTACAGGTGCCTGCCACTGATCAAGCTCCTTTTTTTTTTTTTGGTGCTGGGGATTGAATCCAGGGGCACTTTACCACTGAGCCACCCCCCCCCCGCCAGCACTTTTTATTTTTTATTTGAAAGAAGGTCTTGCTTAGTTGCTGAGGCTAGCCTTGAACTTGCAATCCACCTGCTTCAGCCTCCCAGATCGCTGGGATTACAGGCGTGCGACACTGTGCCTGACTCAAGCTGCCATTTTGAAGAGCATGTCCTAGAAGACTTACGTACAAGGCAACTTTCCATCCAGCCGACAGACATGATCATGTGACCCTCTGGCTGCAGGAGAAGCTGGGAAACAGTCCTTATTCTGGATGGCCTAGAAGTCAGGGTACCATCTGCTCTCCTCCCAAGACGGTCACCAGGCGTGTGAGGTCCTGCAGCCTGGTGCAGGGAGCTGGCAGCAGAGTGGGTGCTACACAGCTGGTGGTGATGAAGTATGCTTTCCATTTCAATGGACAAATTAGTCAATTGCCCCCCACCCTATGCCAAGGCTGTCGGCTTCCTTTATCTCTGGGTTGTGTGCACCTCCAGGAGGCCGCTGCTCCCAGGAGGGCCATTTCCTGGGTGGCAGCTCACTGCAATCCCAGCACCTGGACGTCTGGTCCGGGCCCTGAACACTTGGTCAGCCAGTGCATGAAGCAGAGCGGCCTCCCTTCCCGGCAGCTGAGCTGCCCTACAGGGCTGGCCCGGTGGGGAGTGAGCACTGAGGTCCTGCTGGGCTTTGGGCCAGAACTGCCAGCTGCGGCTGCTCTGCTCACCCTCAACACTGCTGCCTTTTTTAATGGAAAAGTGGCATGGTGTGCCCTAAGAGGGTGACTGAAAACCCAACTACCATCCTGCCAGAGGCTCTGCCTGACACTTCTTTTTTGGTCGGGGCGAGGGGGGCGGTGGGGGTGCTGGGGTTGAACCAGGAGCACTTAAACACTGAGCCACATCCTCAGCCCTTTTTGTATTTTGAAACAGGGTTTTGCAGAGTTGCTTAGGGACTCCCTAAGATGCCCAGGCTGGCTTTGAACTTCCATTCTCGCGCCTCAGCCTCCATGCATATGTGCCACCCCCGCCTGTGCCCGCCACCTGTTTTCTGTTAAAGACAGGCAGTGGGGCTGAGGACGCAGCCCAGTGGCGGGGTGCCATTACTGCAAAAGCCAACAAAACAAAGGCAGCATCACACTGACTTCCTCCTCTCGGAAATTAAATGGATGAAAAGTGAAAATGGAACTTTTAAACAATGTCCTTCCATGTTCTGTAATGCCCCAGACACCACCCGAATGCCTTAGTCTTGGAGTACAAGAGTTGTGTCCTGGGAAGGCGTGGCTCAATAGTGCCTGTTTTCCCACCTGTTTCTGGTGGGGCTGGGGACTGAACCCAGGGCCTTGGGCATGCTAGGCAAGCACTCTAGCAACGGAGCCATATCCCCAGCCCGAACAGAACTTATCTCACAGAATAACTGGGATTCCTTCTCTTTCCTTCGGGTTTTCCCCCCAGGTCTGGAGATGGAACGCAGGGCCTCATGTTCTAAGTGAGCGTTCTACCCCGAATTCCGCCCTCAGCCCCACGGGCTGTGGCAACATCCCGCGTGGACAGTCTCAGCTGACAGGCGCCTCACTCCACTGCTGGCTTTACTTGTCAGCTTCATGGAGCGGAAAAATTTTAGTCCTGTCATTAAAGAACTGAACCAGAACAACCCACACTTCTAAGTGGGGAGCACACAGGTAAAAAAAAAAAAAAAAAAAAAGAAAGAAAGAAAGAAAAAGAAACCCACACTTCATTTAACAATGGAAGACACTTTATTATTATTTTTTAAAATCATCTCTCAACATTTCAACTCTTGGTAGAAATCAAATGTAAAACATCTGCATTTTTGAATTAGCATATATTTAACTATCTCAATCACAGCAACCTCATACAGTAAGGTACACACCAAGAAGGAGCACGGTTACAGTATTTCCTATTCCAGTCTCTGAGCACAGTAGTTCCGTGATGGTAGGGACACTGGACTTTGTCTTCCTAGGACACCTGGTCACACCTGCTTCTGTCCACTGTAAATTACGTGGCATCACGGTTGGCTAAGTTACTGTAATGCTAGAACAATCTGGAAACGGAAAACTAGAAAACTAGAGCTCTCGGGAATGGGCCAGGCATTGCCAGTTCTGAAATGTGAAAAGGAAGAACATCAAGATGAACCCCCAGCTCAGGGGGTGGAAACTCAGCTTTATGTACACATCGTGTATCTACATGTGATCTACCAGGTGTGTAAAAACAGCCAGAGAAGATTGGAAAACCTTAAAATCACTCCACAGAGTTGGAAGAACGTCGGCAAATTCACAGTGGCCTCAGGATTCAGCCAGATTTAAACCCTGCTCAAGAGCTGAATACCTCTTTCTCCCAGAAAAACCCACTGCACATAAATCCCTTAAGTGGGCACATCACAAACACTTATGGCTAAAATATATTATTAGTTCACAAAAGTGATCTATTTTCAAATTCTTGCCCCACTCCTGCTTTGCACCCCCAAAAGGAAAATCCCGAGGTCGGTGATTCCCACGTGGAGTCGAGGGGCCTTCGGGCGTGGCTGTGCGCAGGTGTGGCTGAGGCTGGCGGCCGTCTGGTGGGCAACGCCGACTCCTGCCCACTTATAGTGCAAAAAGATCGCGAATGTTGCAGGTGAGTCCTGGACACTTGTGAAGAGGACCGAGATGGATGGGTGACAGGAAACCCAAGTGACTTTCCTTCTAAATGCGACTTGAGAACTTTGGAGTGTGAGGTCACTCGGCAGGGCCAAGGACGAGGGACAGCAAAGGTTGAGGTCCCTGAATCATCCTGACTGCCCTGCAGTCTGCAGGCACGGACCTCAGCGCCGGTGCTCACCCCCTAAGTGCAACTGGAGGTAGGTGTATAGCGTGTACTGTAGGGAAGACAGTGGCCCTCCACCAACTCCAGAAAAAGGGACATCGTCTCTGTCCCTCCCCTGCCCCAACTCGCCATTCCACCCCAGTGAGTGGAGGACACAGAGAAAAGGGCCCGAGGCCTCCTTGGAAGACTGAAGAACCCAGGGCATTTTTATAAATAGCTACATAATCAATTTTTAACCGCTTTGAAACACATAGCAAGTTGAATATTTATTTAAAAATAAATCTCAAAAATATCTATTTACAGTACAGTCCAAGGGATGTGTGCAAACAACAGAAAGGGGAGGAGCCTGCCCTGCCGTGGGAAGCCCGCATTCCAACGTGTGGGGTGACAACAAGAGGAAGTTCAGCTAATACTGGACTTGGCTTTCCTTGGACACCTGCAGAGGCAGGGAGCCAGGGAGCAGGGCTCCGGCTGGGGATCCTTGTACTTGGGAGCAGGATGGCCAACGGCGTGAGCCATCAGGAGAGGCCCAGTGTGGCAGGAGGGCTCATTTCACAAGCCAACAGGCCTCTAGCTCGCTGCTTCAAGTGGACACTTGGACGTGACCCGAAGGGTCTTTCCCAGTCCAAGCTGGCTTCGCAGTGGGCGGGGCAGTCCCAGGACAGAAACCCTCTTGAAAGGAAAAACAAAACCAGAACCCAGCTGCACAGGGAGTGATCAGCCAAAAGGAATCTGAACGGAAGCGTCACCCTCTCCCTTGCAGATGACAAAGCAGCCGTCAGCTGCAGTGAGTCCTAAGTGAGCACTCAGGCGGGGAGGCCGGCTGGTCCCACCACCCAGGGAGTCAAGTGCAGCAGCTCTGCTCTGAGCAGCTTCACACTTCTTCACCAGGAACTGGAAGGTCAGTGGCATAGCCCTTGTAGGGGGAAGTGCAGGGGGTCTATCTGTACACGAGATGGGAGAACTGCGTGGACTTGTAGTTCAGCTGGTTGTTGGGCATGAACTTGTGCAGCTCATTCTTTTTGCAGCAGGGGTCATAATGGTAGGCGCTGAGGCAGGTGTCGCAGGAGACTTTTGAACACTGGGTGCAGGTATTGGTGGCACCTGGGCGGTTGCAGAAGCCGCAGCGGGAGGTGGCGGTGGCGGAGGGCTTGGGCTTCGAGTGGAGGGGTGGCAACCGGTCGAGGGCCTGAGTCTGGCTTGCATACTTCTCCCGCAGAGACATATCGTGGGCAGAGGCCTTGCTGGGGAAGGCGCTGGGCTTGGAGGCCGGAGGACAGACGAGCAGGCTGTCGCAGCGCTGGCAGAGGGAGGAGCTGCAGGACAGGCCGCAGTTTTGGCACTTGGAGAGGGCGGACTCTTTGGCGGGGGGTGAGCGCTTGTGGTAGAGGGGGTGGGCATCATTTCTGACCAGCCACACATCCTGTCGCAGAGCGTCCTGCCTGCGGTACGTGGCCCTGGGTTCCGAGTCCGTGTACAGATCCACGTCATCCTGAGCGGAGAAGTACGTGCTGCGCAGCAGACCGAGGCCATTGTTGGGGGAGGTGGGAGGAAGGTCGTCTGGGCTGCCATGGGGGGAGCTGGACATGGTCAGGAGTGAGGGGGATGGGCGGATGATCTCGTCCTCCAGACCGTCCCCCAGGTCTGTGACCACGGGCTCCCTCCGCAAGCTCAGCGAGGCCTTTGGGGGTGGCTTTCTGCTCTCGCGGTAGCTGTCATAGGCGTCCACTGACCTGGACGGCTTGGTCACACGGGGCTTGCAGTAGTCCTTGGCTGCCCGCTCGCTGGCGGACTTCTGGAGGGCCACACGGGCCATGGACGTGGTCAGGTGCTCCCTGCCCTCAGCCCGCCGCCGCAGCGCATCCGAGCAGCCGCGCACGTCCTCCGTGCTGCTCTTGCGCTCGCGCACCACGTCCAGCTCCGAGTAGCCCTTGTCCTTCACCTGCGAGTGGATCTCCAGCATCTGCTCGCACTCAACCTTGGCCAGAAAGAGCTCGAAGGAGACCATCTTCACCTGCAGGGTCTCCACGAGCTCCTTGAGCCTGTACGCAGCCCCCAGCTCGGGCACGTAGCCCAGGTAGCTCAGGATGGCCTGGACGTCCTCTTCCAGCAGCGTCGACTTGACGTAGTAGACAAAAGGGCCTGTGTAGGTCTAGGGAGGAGGAAGAGAAAAGAGGCGGGTGTTGCTCAGAGGCACCCAGAGACCAGAGACTGCAGAGCTGCGAAGGCTCAGGCCTGAGGCGGGTGAGGGGCAGCGGAAGCGGGCCTCCTGCTCCCCTACGGAGGCAGAGGCTGCTTGTGCTAGAACCAGGCCACTCGCTTTCTGTGCAGGGTACAAAGACTCTGGTCCACATGACAAGAAGCCAAGCAAACGCGGTGGAGAGAGGGGATTTAGCTCTGGGCAGAAAGCCCCGTGAGAGCATGCCCTCCTGGCTTTTCTACGAAGCTCTGAAGAGCACAGCAGTCTTAACCGCCTGACCTGGTGTCCTCCAGTGCCCTCCCTGCCACACTCTCTGCCCCACCACCACTGGGACCACTGAGTCCAAACCAGCTCTCAGCCTGAGAGCAGGGGTGGGGGCAGGGGCCCCAGGGACACTGGCCCTCTGGAAGGGGCAAGGAGAAAGAAGGCAGTGCAGCCCCCGGCCCTGGCCTCACCTTGATGCTGCGGAACTCCTTCTTCCACGGGTAGAGGAAGAGGTTGATGGCCACGGTCTCCAGCAGGCTGAAGGCGCAGTGCAGGGCCCGCAGGCTGGAGGAGCTGAGCGCACGCAGGGAGCTCTCCACCACCTCGTAGAACTGGATCAGCCGGAATCGATAAAAGGGATCCACCTTGTGCAGGCTGAGCAGGGTCGAGGCCGCCACCCGCAGGTGCTCATCACTGCCGGGCCGCGGCTTGCTGGGGGTGGCGTCCACTTTGCTCTCGTGGAACTGCACGTACTTACGAAACAAGTCATCTTTGTATTTTGTATCCATTGAGCTGGGCCTCCCCATCTGCTCAGGGGCTACCTTATCTCCTCCATGGCTTCTGGGCTGGACACAGGGGCGTCACTGAAAGCACTGCCATGCTGCCGGCCGGGACCAGGGAGGACTCTGGAAGGGGAGGAGCAAGCAGCAGGTCACTCCATGAAACAGTCCATGTGCCACCTTCCAACCACTGAGGCCAAACACCACAAGTTGGCTGGGAAGGTGATGCACACCTGTCATCCCAGTGGCTCGGGAAGCTGTGGCAGAAGGACCACAAGTTCCAAGCCAACCTCAGCAACTTAGCGAGACCCTGTCTCAAAATAAAACATAAAAAGGGCTGGAGACGTGGCTCATTGGTTAAGCACCCCAGGGTTCAATCCCTGGTACCAAAGAAAACCAAACCAAAAACCACCAGGAGTGGCCTGGGCTTCCCTGGGCACCACGAGATCTGGTCCCTGTCTGCTGGCTCAGTCAGCACATTTGCAGGTACTAGATACAAAGTGACAGTGAAGAGGACAGACACAGCCCTTGCCTCTGCTGAGCTCGCAGGACACCTCCGAGGAGCATGCTGGCACAGAGGCTCAGGCAAGTGGAGGCGGCCCTCCCTGGACCTGCAGGGGGGGAGTTCAGGAGAGCCCTGAAGCAGCGACAGCCCCCTGAAGGACAAGGAGGCAGCGGCTGAGGTGGGCGACGGAAGCACGGGGCGAGCAGAGGTCAGATGGCAGGACACTCGCCCAGGGCTGCGGACTCCTGGAAGCAGGACTTGGATCAGAACCAACAAGGCCCTGCTCCAGCACACCCTGCTCTCCGAGGCAGGAAGGCGCTGGGCACGCCGACACAAAGGAGGCTGGCCAGGCAGCAGCGGGGCAGTGGCGGGGTGGAGCTGCAGGCACACCCAGGCCGGACCCCAGGCCTCAAAGAGCACATAGGCTCCTACTTAGCCAGCCGTGACGCACTCTGGGCCAGCAGCTCAGGAAGCTGAGGCAGGAGGACTGCAAGTTCCAGGGCAGACTCAGCAACTTAGTAAAGCCCTAAGCACCTTAGTGAGACCCTGAGACCCTGTCTCAACATAAAAAATAAAAAGGGTTGGGGGTTGTGGCTCAGCCCCTGGGGTTTAGTGCCCGGTACCCCCACCAACAAAAATCAGGCGATTACAGCACCCTGTTGGGAGCCAACGGCTGTGCTGAGCCAGGACTTTGCACGCATAGGGTCGTGCTAACTGCTCCACCACTGGTCAACAGAGCAGTACATACCCAGCAATGCTCTTGTTGCCACGGTTCTGGGGGCGAACTGGACTTATCCCAAACATGGAGTCAGAGCCAGGCTGCCTGGGAGGGAAACCTGGGGCTGCCCCAGCTCATTCCGTGAATCCCTCAACCTCTGGGTCCAAGATCAGTGCGAGCAACCTACATGAGCAGCACAGCAAGCTCTTCCCAGAGCGCCAGCTCCAAGGAGGCCCTCGACTGCTGCTCCTGCTCTGGGAAGGGGCTTTGCCCCCAAGAGGGCAGGATAGAGGGCGAACCTCTTCAGCGGGACGATGACTGCATTTCCACACTCTCCTTTCTGACCAGAAGTTCCAGGAGTGCAGGACCATGACCATCTTGCTCGTAAGGTCACCTCCACACAGCCCAGGCAGAACATGTGCTTCTGGATACCACGGACTGGCCGTGAGGTGGCGAGAGACTGGGGAGAAAGCTGCAGGTAACCCAACTGGACAGAGCCGTGGAGTCCCTCAGCAGGTCCTGAAGGCCATGGAGCCAGGCAACTATCAAGGTCATCCCAATGTGCCACCGTCGAAGTTCAGTTTTGGGGAGACTCCTGGGGTATTAACAGCAGGGTGAGAGGTGCAGTATGTGGTAAAACTAGGGACACAGAGGCCATCTTCTCCTGCCCACTGCCTTGCCCAAAGACTCCAGTGCCACAGGCAGAGACAAGCCTGGGAGCACAGGAGGCAGATGAACTTCTGGCTCGTGACAGGGGTCGAAGGTGCCGTGTGATCACGCTCCGGCTCACCTGCCACACAGCCTCCCTCTCCCCAAGCTCCATCCACACGGATCTCCATCTTGTCTCAAAAAAACCCAGCTCACGTCTGTCTCAGGACCCCCACATCTGCTCCTCCTGTGTGCTCTCTGAGTCTTCCCATAGCTGGCTACCTCACCATTCAGGTCTCAGCTCAACTGTCCCCCCTCAAGGCCCTCCCTGCCCCTCCTCTCAAGGAGTCCCTGTCATGCGACAGTCTGAAATGATCAACTCTGTTTGTTCATTTACTACCTCGTCTCTTCACCTCCCCCACTACCTGGCAAGCTCCACAGAGGCAAGGACCGCGGCTGTTACCCACCACAGTCCTCGCAGAGCCTGGCACGCGATGGGCCTTGGTAAAACAGGAGAAATGAATGAAGAAAGGATGTGCACTACTGTGACTCTGCCCCCTTATTTTCTTGTTAGTACCCCCAAGAATTCTGACAGGGCAACAGAAGAGAGAAGAATGGGCTCCAAAAGATGGCAGGACGTGACACAAGCAGCTCAAGGCCAGCAGAGGTGAACCCACGACTCCAGGCCTGGCCTTCTGGCCTGACGCCATGCTCCTTGGCCACTCCATAATCCCACATCTGACAGCTCTCTGCACAGTGCCCACCTTCTGCCAGGCCCATGGCTGGACACGGGGGCAGGAGGGAGAGGGAGGGAAGAGGCCAGAAATCAAAGACACATCTTGCCCTGAGTTCTAGCTAGAAGAACTCAGTGTCCAGAATCAAAGTACCTATGCGCTCTTGAAAGATAAAAATTAGTCTATCCCAAGAGAAGACACCTAAGAAATGACATTTGCATTTACTGTTTTTAATTTGTCTAAGAAAAGATCCCAATCTGCCTCTGGTCCCAGGAACAGTGTTTTGTTTTTTTGTTTTTTTTTTTTTTTGGTACAGTTGAGAACCATTTAAAAAGGATATCAGGGCTGGGTGGTGGCTCAGTGGTAGAGCACTTGCCTAGCATGTGTGAGGCACTGGGTTCGATCCCCAGCACCACATAAAAAGAAACAAGTAAAAAAATAAAATAAAGGTATTATGTTCACCTACAACTGGAAAAGAATTTAAAAATAAATAAGTAAGCAAAATAAAAGCATGCAGTCCATCTACAACTACTGGGCATGGTAACACACTCCTATAATCCCAGTGACTTGGGAGACTGAGACAGGAGGATTGCAAATTCAAGGCCAGCATCAGCAACTAGGTCCTTACCAAATACCAAATAGAAATTTTAAAAAAAGGATATCAAGGGGTTGGAGATATGGATTGGGGTATAGCACCTCCCTAACATGCATAAGGTCCCTAGCACTGTTTAAAAAAAAAAACAAACGGTGGACATCAAGCCCCCTCCTAAATACTGCTGTGACTTTGCTCCAATGAAGTCAGCCCTGAGCCCACAGAAGCTGACCTTTGAACAAGTCGGCCATCTTGAGCTCAGCTCTCCAGTTCAGCATCTGCTGCTCGGTGATCACACAGCCACACCCTTGTTTGCTGCTAGTGTAAACAAGGAAAAGGGATGCACATGGTCTAACTCGTGCTCTAAATTCTAAAAACACAGATGGGAAATCCATCTAAGAAGGCTCTTGAACCAGCCTAGCTAGGGGAGGTAAAAGGTGAAAGAAAACAAATGCTAAAAGATAATTAAAGAGCTGGGTAAGGTGGCACATGCCTATGATCCCAGCATCTTGGGAGGATGAGGCAGGAGGATCACAAATCCAAAGCCAGCCTCAGCAGCAAGGCCATAAGCAACTCATCAAGACCCTGTCTCTAAATAAAATATAAAAAGGGGATGTGGATGTGGCTCTGTGGTTAAGTGCCCCTGATACAATCCCTGATACAAATAATAATAATAATAATAATTAGGAAAGAGAGAGAGAAAAAAAAAAACAACAATTAGTGAGGTTCTACTGTGTGCCAAGCACTAACTAGGCTTTCTACTTTAACGGCATCTCCCTCACAATGACCCCAGAAAACCAAGGCTGAGCCGTCAGGCCCCCCCAACCAACAGAGCACGGAAGGGTCAATGCCAGAATCTGAACTCAGGTGGGGAGGAGGCCCTACAGAGCCCCGTTCTCTTCTGCTCATCTCACTTCCAAGGGATTGATGCGAGGACCCCCCTATTAACTGTTCCTGGGAATGTGGCTCAGTGGTAGAGCACCTGCCTAGCTTGTGTAAGGCCCTGGGTTCAATCCCCAGCACTGCAAAAATAAATAAGTACATGACTAATATGTGAAATTCACATGACAACCCCAACATTAAACAGAAACAGGCTCAGAGGACCAACTCATTTTCCTAAGTGCTAAGGTTAGGAAGAAATGGATCCAGGAGTTGATCCTAAGTCAAACAAGCCTGTATCTCAGCCAAGTGGCCCTGCTGCAACTGCTGGACAGCTCTTCCTGCAAGCTTGGCTCAGGCGAAACTCCCCATGGCAGGCTGAGCAGAGTGGAGTTCTAAAAATTCCTATAGTAGCAAAATTCCATCTTCCCACACAGAATGGGGTTGGGAGAGCCGCAAATCTCTCTCTGAGGTAATTTCCAGGGCTAGGGAAAGAGGCTGGCCGGAGACCGGCCAGTGAAGCAGTTACGTCATCCTTGCTGAATACATTTTCTGAGAATACAGGCTGCCTTGTGGCTGGTCATAGCTGGTGTCTTTTCTGAGCACAGAGCCAGCAATTTATTCCAAGCACTCTGCAAGAACAACAAAAAATATGCTCCCTGCAAAAACAGCCTGGTTACAGAGACCAAGACAGCCCAGTGACAGGAGCTGGTAATTTCTCTAAGCAACCCAAGAACTGGAACACCAAGCTGTGCCAGGCTAGCGGGGAGTGGGGGAAAGGGCTCTGTGAATATCCCAACAAAGAGCCAACAGCCCTGAGTGACACCTCCTGCACCCCCAATCGAGGGTACCGTGAAGCAAGGCAATGAAGAGACAGATATTGCACAGCCAGGGAGGTGGGTTTTCTAATGAGGATCTTTGAAACCTAAAGGGAAAGCGCTGTCTTTTTAAAGTTCCATTGCATGGAACTGAAATGGTTCTAGGTAGCAAAGCATTAGCTTGGCTTTACCTCAGCTGGCCATTCAAGCAGAAACACTCCCAGAGCAGCATCTGAAGGGCCCCCTCCCTGCACAGGCAGAGCTATTTTGGTCCCAGCACCGGCCTAATCCACAGGTTTACCCATCCCTGGCCTGGGTTGGGCCTGCACTCAGGAGCAGGGGAAAGCAGTTTCACCCCTCCCTCCCCCACCTCCACGCACTATTCCAAACAGGAGGCTCCGGAGACACATCCCTGGCTGCCAAACGCCAGAAGGTTCCCACACCCCTACTGCCTGCCCTCCAGAGATGTTATTCAGAGAGGATGGATATTCCCAGGCCTCTGAATATAAACCCAGTAGAGCTAAAAGGGGGCTTCCCTCCTGACAGCTACCTCTCTCAAAGGGGCTCTGAAGTAAACCATGTCCCCTCCCTGAAGGGAACGGAACCTGGCGACAGCTATACTGGGTTGATTCCTACCGCCTGAGGCCGCATCAGTTTTGCAGAACACCCTGCCTCACAACCAGGCCCTCCCCCACGGTCTGCTGTTTGTGGTGCTGGGGACAGATCCAGGGCTCTGCGAAGACCAAGCGAGCGCCCTTCCCCGGGGCACACCCCCAGGCCCGCGCGGGCTCGTTAACGGAGGAACGGGACCACCGCTAGGGAACGCCTGCTGTATGCCCGAGGCTGGGCTCCACCTGCATTCTCTCATTCATCCATGGCGAGCAGGTTCGTTCCACTTAACACACGGGACAACTGAGGCTCCAGAGAAGTGCCTTATGCAAGGTCACGCAGGGCGTGCAAACCCACGTCTGCGCCAGATCCTGAGTGGGGGACCCCGCGAGGCCCCTGCCCACGGCGGGATCCGGAGTCCTCCCGCCT